ATAGCGAATCAAAACAAACATAGTGTAGTAATAGAATTTCAACTAGAATAGGGTACGTTAATCGTTTGCTTGGGACTAATAGCATAGAGGTAACTCTAAGACCAGAAGGTCCCGAAGAAACGAGCTCAACTTTTTGGCTCAGCTCTGGTACTATCTTCGGTCCCAAGCTAATCGATTCACCCCTCGAAACTTAGGAAAATCCACTAACCCCTCATTTTATCTGTCAAACTTTCATAGCGAATCAAAACAAACATAGTGTAGTACTGGAATTTATACTAGAATGGGATACGTTAGTCGATTTGCTTGGGACCAATAGGCTAGTCAAGTAGTGAGCCAATTTTAAATCGTTAGTTTCCAATCGGTGGTATTAACATAGAGGTAACTCTAAGACCACTGGGTCCCGAAGAAAATCATTATTATTTTTGGCTCACTCAGTACCAGAACAACGGTCCCAAGCAGTCCCAAGCTATTTCACTCACCCCTGCATGTTCTGCATGAATCCACACACCCCTGATGTTATCTGTCAAACTCTCATAGCGAATCAAAACAAACATTGCGTAGTAATAGAATTTCAACTAGAATAGGGTACGTTAATCGTTTGCTTGGGACCAATAGGCTACTAAAGTGGTGAGCCAATTTAAAATCGTTAGTTTCGTATTGATTATTGCTGGTACTCTCTTCGGTCCCAAGCTAATCGATGCACCCATCGAAACATAGGAAAATCCAGCAACCCCTCATTTTATCTGTCAAACTTTCATAGTGAATGAAAACAAACATAGTGTAGTACTAGAATTTCGACAAGAATGGGGTACGTTAATCGTTTGCTTGGGACCAATAGGCTAGTCAAGTTGTGAGCCAATTTAAAATCGATAGTTTCGTATTGATTGTAGGTACAACGTTATATTACACAACCGATGGATTGACATGGATTGACCTGGTTGCAGCCTCGGTTGCAGCAGTTTGGATGTAATATTCAACAACTTTTTTTCTGTGTACCTTTGATGGTTTCAACTATTTGGTACACTCATAAAATTAGACACAGTTTTATTGGCGAATTTCCATGTAAAATTTCACATGATTATCATGTGTCCACACATAAACAGAATACACTCAGAAGTACACATGAAATTTATGAGTCAAATTAATACAAAGGCATTACTGATTTATTGATGCATTAACACATTGGTGGCGTATTATTATAATTTTTAGTATAAATATTAATTATGTTAACTGTCAAGCGGACAGCTTCAAAGTAAAAAAAATACCAGTGTAACTTTAACGCATACACTCAATGACGTTTCACCGTTGTTGTTTATGTTTACTGCAGCTTTCATTTCTGCCTAGATTTTCGTTTTCGATAGCTCTGATCGATTTCGACTTCGACTTTTCATGATCAAAACGGTACTGGACGTTCCCCCAGCAGCAAATTTTACTACTTGCAGGCTCATGGCAATTCGAGTGTAATACGACCACGGAACCATCACTCTGGGACTCCGTTTACAGGGGAGGCGTAGTCAGTCGATTCCCGTTCCATCGGAGGACAGCACATTGGTTCGCAGACGATGAAGAATTCGTGAAAATTAATGACTATTTTCTGGGACTGTTATTTTTTTACTTTGAAGCTGCCCGCTTGACAGTTAATATCATTAATATTTATACTAAAAATTATAATAATTACCCATTTGAGCAATTTTTAGACCAAATATTACTGCAGATCAAGTTGTACATCCCCTAGCGTGCGACCGAATATTTGCACTAAGATCAGCTAATACCCCGTTCAGATTACAGCCTATATCACGTAATATAGGCTGTCTTGCAATGAGCACTCATACATAGGATTTCCAGAGAAAACTAGATGTATGAGTGCTCATTGCAAGACAGCGTATATCGCGCTGTAATTTGGACGGGATATAAGATTCACAAATATTACACATATTAAAATATTTAATATTTCCACCATCGATATTGATGCTGATTCTTGGACCTATCCTTCCCCTAGAGTACTACACTCTGTTTGTTTTGATTCGCTATGAAAGTTTGACAGATAAAATGAGGGGCTCGTAGATATTCCTATGCTTCGAGGGGTGCATCGATTAGCTTGGGACCTAAGATAGTACCAGGGGCCACATTGCGCATCTCGAAACGAAAAACTTTTTCATATCAATATATGAAAATCCAAGAGGAAAAGTCAGAGATGCACATCATTCGCATCGGAATGACGTTTTCCTACGCAATTCGAAGGTTGTTTTGGAAGGATGATTTGCAGGTTTCATTAAAAATTGTGATCATCATGCAGTGGTGACATCTGCGTAGAGCTTTTACGGCAAGTTCTCAATAACAGTGTCGAAAAGTACTACCATAGAGGTAACTCTACACACCAAATCTCTTAAATCTTGTTCGGTACTTTTTTTGCTGGATTCGTTCTGTAAAATATAATTTTTGCCGAAAGCTTTATAAAAAGTAATGATTTACCAATATTCCGCAATCAAAACTGCTGAATTTCCGTAATTTATAGAAATTTACCGAAAACTGTAAATCAAAATTACTGATCTAAATTGTAAATTGCTGCAATTCCGCAATATTGTAAAAATTGAGACGAATGTGCTGTAAACATAATCTTTTACAAAAACAAACAGCAGTAATGTACCATATTTTTGTAAAAAATACACAACAGATTTGTAAACTTCACACTGTAAAGCTTTGCTATTATTTTGAAGTTGAGTGTTCTTCAGCTATCCTTTGTGACTAGTAAGTACGTTATTTTTTTCCTATAATCCGTCCAATTTATATCGAAAGTATTAATTATACAAATTCTTTTTCATTTCTGGGCCAATAGCTTTCAGACGACATGGACATTAAATGGCCAAATGCCACACACAAACCTCGTCCACAACAGCAAAAAGCGAATTTGTGCACGGTTTGTTACTTGGTTGCTAACCACGGTCAGGTTCTTATTTACTTTATATACGAACGCGCGATGAAAATGTTTGTTTATAGATAATAAATAAATGATTAGTCAAATGAATCTTCAGGTTTGTTGTTAGAAATAAAGAATTAATTAATGAATAAAATCAATAATGATTAATTCAGGCAAATTAAGTACAGCCAATTTCGGTAAAATTATACCGAACGCTATATTGCAAACTTCACCGATCATTCAGTAAAATTTACAGTTCTGGTCAGTACATTTTGACAGCTCACAAGGGAACAAAATTTACCGAACGGATTGTAAATAAAAAATTACCGAATAGATTACCGAATGTTCAGCTGTTCCATATTCGGTAAAAAATTACGGTATACTGTAAAAAATCTTAGTGTGTAAGACAAGAAGGGCCCGAAGAAACGTGCTCAACTTTTTGGCTCAGCTCGCTCTGGTACTATCTTCGGTCCCAACCTAATCGATGCACCCCTCGAAACATAGGAAAATCCATGAACCCCTTCATTTTATCTGTCAAACTTTCATAGTGAATCAAAACAAACATAGTGTAGTACTAGAATTTCGACTAGAATGGGGTACGTTAATCGATTTGCTTGGAACCAATAGGCTAACCGAAAAAAAAATTATTATAAAAGAACGAAATTACAATGATTTTTACTGTTGAATTCAGTACATTAAAATTTATTGCTAAATTATTGTACGGGAGAAAAAATAGATTTCGATTTTTAACGATACAATGCTCAAACAACGAAAATTAGTGTGATGAGATCAAATTTGTTCGAGAAAAATCACTTTTTTATATTGTTAAGATGCTTAACAACCCCCCTTTTTTACTGTAAATTTCTCAAATAGCATGATTTTCATTGTTGGGAACCATGGATTTCGTTGTAATTTTATGGTTATGGACAAAAATTAAAAAAAAAATGTCCAATGTTTTGACAGTATATATATGAAAATCATTGTATTTTTATTGGATTTTTTTACGGGTAGTCAAGTAGTGAGCCAATTTGAAATCGTCAGTTTCCACCGGTTCCAGTGCCAAAAAGTTCTACTTTTCGACTCTCTTTTGATTACAAAAAATGCAAAATTCGTTTCACTCAGCACTCTTTGTAATTATCCAACAAATCGTTCTGAGGAAATCTTCGATTTGCAACTTTTTGCATTAAAAAAATTCCATTTTATAGCGAACTGCGTGAATGCAACCCTGGTAAAAGCGAGTCGTTGGTTTAACAGGAATTCTAGAGTAATATTTGAAATGGGTTTATGTCCAAAACGTAAACAAACCTGAAAATGAATTTAAAAATTTTCCACCACTATTCAATTCATATTTAAGAAAATTGAAGTATTTTAGGCATTTATATTGTTCACAATAAGAATAGTAACTGTATCTCAGTATACAGCCTCCAAAATATGCAAAAAGCTTTCAAAATTATATGAAAATCGATAACAATTTAATTTCATAAATTAATAAGCCTTTTTGTGAATCTTTCAATGGATAGGCCCTTTTTGTTAAGCCGTTGTGCTTGTCATCACGAATTGTACGCCCTTTTCTAAGCCTTTTCGCAACGTCAAATAAACTCAAAACAAATCATCGGATCTGTCTCAAGCAGTAGGGCCTAGCTTTGGTTTGAAAATTTTCAATCTTCGCCCTTCTACGTCACTAGACTTATCAATGAAATGAAATAAATGAATGGTTGGCCGTTTTAGCGTGCGGGCCTATTAATGAATCGAAAAAAATTGTTGATCGGCCGTTTTTAAAATCGAGTTATTTTTAATGATTTTTCTCGATTATGCGGAATTTTCCTACACGATTAGTGGCTATCAAGCGGTGCTAAAAAATGGTATCAAAACCCGATTTGTTTACGTTAGACATAGGCCCATTTCAAATGTTACTCCAGAATTCACTGTGCACTGGCATCCCTGTGCGAGCACTCCTTTGAAGTGTGTTGGTAAATTCGCCCAAAGTTGCGATTTCTCGCCGCGGAGAAGCGAGCCGAAGCTTGACTGGATGCGACGACGAGCCGCAGTCCAACGTTGATCGCCGTTCGTTGTTGTGTGCATTCGTTTTTCCAGTCATCATCATTCATTCGGTGTAGTGTGTTGAACAACGAGCTGCTAAAGAGGAAAACCGGAGGAAAGTACAGACAACACTGATCCGCGGCTGTAGTTATTAACAACTTTTTCCGATCTGCAATTAACGCAAATTCGATAAGCAGGCGCACACGTACATTCCTCGTTCGTCGTTGATTATCGGTGTTTAGTGCGTTTATACGAGAGTAGCAGATTAAACAAGCCGTGAAAACAAGCAGCGCTCTCATCCTGTGCAATCAACACAGAAGAAAATCGATTCCATTGTGCTTTGCTTCTGCTGCTGCCGTCGTTCGTTGCCGATGATTTGCTGACAATCGCAGTCTTGCTGAGCGCTAACTATTGGGGACAGTGTTTTATTTTGTGTTTGCTCGCCGGAAACTGCTGCTCGTAGCTGGAATTCGCTTCCTAAAACGAAAGAAAAATCATCGAAACTGGACAGTCTCAGGAGAACGGGCAGCGGCAAAATGTCGACGGAGTCGGGAAAGACGGTGAGTAGATGTGTATGATGGATGATTGTGTCTCCGTGAGGGAGGGATCCATTTCAGACGGCGCGAGGGAACGGTGCCAAGGGAGATAGATGGCGGCAGGCAGCTTGATGAACTTGAAACTGCGGTGGACAATCATAACATGGCTTTTAGGTGGAATTTGTAAGGGGGATGGTGGAATCAATAATTTCGACTATATGTATATCATAATGGACAGTGGGGGGATCTGTTATAATGCCAGTCGGATTCAATTAGGTTGAGCTAACTGAATTATGTTGAGATGTCCAGCATTCTGTTTAGAGCCGATCCGAGCACGGGTGTGGTCCAACGTGGTCATTGGTCAAATTGTGACTGCGACTGCATATTTAGTCTCAATTCCGAGAATCAATTGAGTGTATACCCACTAGTAGTAGCATGAGTCATTCTCACACCGTTCTTTACCCTCGTAGATTCTGTATTTAGCACATTCTATCGCACATGTAGAGCTTCGAAGAAGTTGTTTATGTGCCCCAAGTGCTGAGTTGAGACATCGCAGCGCATTTGAACTGCTGATGCTTCATAATGATTTGCATAACATTTTGTGTGTACAATCCTGCTTGGCTTAAGATAAACAACTTAATTTAGCTTCTTATCACCGGCTTATCACTGTTAAAAAAAACAGCTTAAAAGAGTGTGTTAGACTAACAATTGAAATAGGCGGAACAACCAAACGTAAACAACAGCTTTAAAAGCAAATTTCTCGAGAATCAAAACATACCAACGCAAATGCTCTATCAGATGTTGGTGTTAGATTGCGTGATGTGTTTTTAATTCTCGAGAAACTTACGTTTGGTTGTTCCGCCTATTTCAATTGTTGCTCTAGATTTATAATGTAGAACACTGGCCAGACTTAAGAGTTATATATAACATGTTATAAGCCTATCTCGATGACATGTTTCTTGTCGATAATTATTATAACAAGCTATAATTCTGTAGTCTGAACAAGGCATAAGACTGCTTTTAAGAACTTTGGGAGGTTAAGACTGCAATACTGCAGCGCTAAACAATTTAACTTACAACTAAATTAAAAAGATAACAGCTGATCTATATTTCAAAGACATTAGTCGTGCATCCTAGAATTCTGTAAATTAAGTGATACATTTTTTTTAACTACCACGTAAGTAGTTATTCTAACAGTGTAGAACCAAACTTTTCATCAGTGCGACCCTCGAGGTAGGTTGTAAAAACAATCAATCAAAATGATATTTTTTTTCAGAAAGGTTCACCGAATCAGGCTTATTAGAAGAATTCGAAGAAAATAAATCAGTGGAATACTAGTCTACTTTTCGAGCATCCCTGCATACCAATTCAACTGCAGCAACATAATGCATTCTCGGCACGACCAGTTTGTACTTATTCATCAAATCGCCACAAATGAGTAGACTTTCAAAGTGAATGGGGCAGTCGATGCGTTGTTCCCTCCTTCTCGAGTCATTGTTTTTGTGTGTTTAAAAACAAATGCGACTCTTACCTATCGTATCCGAAGTTTGTTACTACCAATTACGTTGCGACGCGGAAATTCATCTTATGTGCTTATATCTGAAAAGCTTGTTTTTGGTTTGATCCCATACTAAACTAGTCCATCCATCATACCTATCTAGCAATTTAGCTAGTAGATAACCCACGTGTAGATATGTATTGCACGTTCCATATGTTGCGCAGAGTTTGGCCCCATTGGCGCGTTCGAAATTAACTTTTGACCAAAGCCAGAAAAAATAGGCGAAAAACTAATTTCCAATTCCAACCACGTCGACTTTTCCCTGTCGACAGCACCGTCTTGGTGCCGTTTGTATTTACAATATGTTTCGACTATTTGGTGAAGGTACCGCAAACCGAGAGAGGCACCTTTATTTTTTAATGCAATTCCAGTGTTACGGCTACCGCTGGCGTTCGTTAGGTGATGATGAAATCCAACTATTTGGGCGCAAAAATAAAGTGACGATGACGGCGGGCCAGTTTAATAATCTTCCGTTTGCTCCTCGATTGCTTTCTCGAAACGGATTCATGGTTGGTATCGCGCATCGAATCATGTTGGGGTCATTGGCGTCGGTTTTGAGGGGATCATGAACCTAGGAAGTTTTCTTTTTGGGACTGCGGAAAGCTCGGTAATCTGAGGTTAAATAGGAATGACCCCGGGAGAGGGTTCCAGATGTTACAAAAATATGTCATCGTGAGTCAAAAAATTTGATGATATCTTTATTTTCTATTTCCGCGATCTTTCTATCTTGGAAAATATTCCTCGTTCGAGAATAATTAGATTTTTTTTTTCTTAGACTGCTATCTAGAAAAAGTTTTGTAGGTCCCAGAGTTATGAAAATTTGAGGTGTTACACAAGTTACTATATCCGAAATCTTTAAAAATGATTGTCTAAATATGTTTAAGTCCGAGACTTCTTCTCTGTGCCGCAATTTTTCGTCAATTTAACTAATTCGCTATCTGAATCTAAAATAATCATAATAAATCCTCAAACAATTATATGTTTAAAGGAGCATGAATAATGCCCATGATAGGTTGTGATTGTGACTTGGAGCCATTTTTTTTTCGATCAATAAATGGCACTATGAGTCACTTTTTTGTTGTTTGACAGCCACTATTTGGTCATTATTTTCGTTATTTTAGTCACTGAAGTCCCTACTATTATATTTTAAATACCCACTACCAGCCTGTTGAACACCGTTGTTTAGCACCATTCAATGCATATTGATAGATACCATCAATGAACACTAACATGGGTCATGTGGAAAAAAGTAAATTTCCTCTGTGTGGTGCCAGAAGGTTGATTGATTGATTGATTTATCTTTATTAAGGAGGCTTTCAGCCTGAGGCTGGTTCGCCTCAACGATACCAGAAGGTACTCCACGGAGATGGAAAGTTAATTGAGATCCTAAAAAAAACCTGGCAGATATATTGAATATTAAGGATCTGCTCTGGACACTTGACAAAGGCAGAGGCAAGTTAGCTGGCTACCATATGTTGAAAAGGTTCCCCTTTACAGCGAAGCGCGTATTTATGGACGTATTACACAGCATCTGGTAAATCGGTGAAATCCCTGAGCAGGGGAAATAGGTCAAGTCTTTTCAGGATTCTTTCTAGGATTCAAAAGTAGCGATCTACGGCCACATTCCATAGTTTAGGGACTGTTCATTAACTACGTAGACAGTTTTTTTTTAAATTCTTGACAGACCCCCCCCCCTCCCTGCGTTGACAATTGTCCATACATAATTTTTGAAATTTGTATGGGCCGTGGATACTTGCAAAAATATCCTAAGCAATCATTTGGAATTCTCCTCAGAATACCTTGGAATTCTGTGCTGAATTTACGTGAAATTTTCTTAAGAATTTAATTTAAATTCTTCAGCATTTTTCTTTATTTTCCTCAGAATTCCTCCGATTCCTTCGACATTTTTCTCGGATCTAGCTTAAAGTTCTCTTGTGAATCTTGTTTTGTAAAAATCACCTGCTATTCTCCTCACAATCCGCATACACTTCTCGTCAGAATCACCTAGGAATTATCCTTGAAGTTCTCCGCACAGGCTTCCTTGTAATTATTCTAAGAGCTCGTCAGGACTTATTCTCAGAATTAATTTAGGATTCTTGTCAGTTGTCGTTCTTGTCAGTCTAGTATCCAATAAACTCTTCTTTTAGGATTTAGGATTCTTGTCAGTCTTGTATCCGTTAAACTCTTATTCGAGTTCTTCTCAGAATTTTGAAATTTCTAAATTCTATAAAAAATCTTCTTATTAGAACCCTGAGCACTTGTCCAAGTCCACACAATTTTCCAGGAACTGTATTTTTTCCAAATCTGGAATCTTATTTTTTTTTTCTAAATCTTGTATCTAGAAAAACATTTAATATCCCACATTTTAACTTTTTTTTTGCTTAGTTTTATATTGTTGGAAAACTACTTGATAGAATCAAGTTCAACTGGCTCAAAAATCTCCCAGACGTTGCGAAGAGACGCTTGTTGAACTTATTCAATCAATTTCTGGAGCACAACATTGTTCCGGATGACTGGAGGCAAGTAAGAGTTATCACCATTCGAAAACCCGGTAAACCCGCGTCGGATTATAACTCGTACCGTCCCATCGCGATGGTGTCCTGTATACGGAAATTGTTGGAGAAAATGATTCTTTTTCGTCTAGACAAATGGGTCGAGTCGAATGGTTTACTTTCAGATACGCAATTTGGATTTCGGAGAGGCAAGGGAACGAGCGACTGTCTTGCGTTGCTTTCAACTGAAATTCAACTGGCCTATGCGCAAAAACAGCAAATGGGTTCAGTTTTCTTGGACATTAAGGGGGCTTTTGATTCGGTTTGTATCGATGTCCTTTCGGATAAACTCCACGGTAGTGGGCTTTCACCAATTATGAACAACTATTTGAGCAACTTGTTGTCTGAGAAGTATATGAGCTTTTGTCATGGAAACTCGACAACTTCACGAATTAGTTACATGGGTCTCCCCCAGGGCTCATGTTTAAGCCCCCTTCTATATAATTTTTATGTAATAGACATTGATGGTTGTCTTGATGAAAACTGCTCGCTAAGGCAGCTTGCAGATGACGGGGTTGTGTCTGTTATAGAGCCAAGTGCACCGGACCTGCAAGAACCATTGCAAGATACCTTAAACAATTTGTCTACTTGGGCTATGAAGCTAGGTATCGAATTCTCTCCGGAGAAAACTGAGTTGGTTCTTTTTTCTAGGAAGCATCATCCTGCACAGTTACAGCTTCAGCTAATGGGTAAAACAGTCACTCAAAGTATTTCTTTTAAGTATTTAGGTGTCTGGTTCGATTTCAAATGCACATGAGGAAAACATATTGCGTATCTGAAACAAAAATGCCAGCAAAGGATTAATTTTCTTCGTACAATTACCGGAACTTGGTCCACCCGGAAGATCTGATCAGGTTGTGTCGAACAACCATCCTTTCGGTTTTAGAGTACGGCAACTTTTGCTTCCAATCCGC